AACTCTCACCCCCCAGCCCAGCCAGCAGCTTCCCTGCGCTGCTCCCAGAATCTCCCGCCAGCTGGGTAACAAGCTTCCCTTGTTTGGGCTTTTTATGTTTTTGGTTTTGTTGGTTTGGGTTTTTTTGTTGTTTTTTTTTTTTCCTACAAGCATTTCAAGCTCCTCTGAAGAGTCTCCAGCCTCGCACACAGACGGGCTCTTGTGCCTTCAGCCCTTCAAACGAATGCAAAGCGGCGGCGCTCCCGACCAAGACAAACAGCGGCGACACCACGTCCCCACGGGCACGTGGCTGGGGAGGGCGAGGGGAGCAAATCACACACAGCAGCAGCAGGGAAAGGTCAGGAAAAAAAAAAAAAAAAAACACAAGCCAACCCTCAAAAATGTGCCGGGAATTACCCACATCCACAAAAAAACAGGATGGGGTTCCACTCTGCTGGGGGTTTCCAGTCACCACCACTGGTGGGCACTGGCATCTCTGCCACGCTGGTCCTGGTCTCAGTGGGGTCCAAGGGAGCATCTGGGGCAGCGTTGCCATGGCACCTGCACCAGGTCACAGGTCCCACATCTCTGCTGCTCCAACAGATGAAGGGACAAATACTCCCCAAAAGCTCCGTGCCCTTTGCCACACGGTTTTACAAAGATGTGACCTGCTGCCTCCGGGGCAGTGGCTGCAGGATTCTCCCAGTTCCAAGGCAGCAGAACTGGGAGGTGACAGGAGGATGAGAAGCCATCTCTGACCTTACACAGGCCAAACCTATCCCATGTACACCAGTTTCTTCACCCCCCCGACACAGAACAAGAGCCAGTGGCCAGATGTCAGAGGCAGAAACACCCAAAAGGAGACAAAGCACTGGGCACAGCTGATGGCATAAGCTTGGATACCCCCAGAAAGCCCCAGTTCATCCCCTGCCTGGTAGATATGAGGCAGAGGAGTGGGTAGAGCTGGCACAAAGCTGCCAGGATCAAACCTGTTGGCCAAAGGAACCCAGCACCTCTGGGAAACAGCAGGATTGCCCAGCCCTTACAGCACCCTGAACTCAGCCACTGCTGCCTGACCAAGCAGCTCCTGACTCCAGGCAGACACAGGCACAGATTAGGGCTTCACCTCAGAATGTTTCCTTTGCAATTTCCCAGTGATCTTTCTTATCAACTAATTAAAAAAATTTCCATAATTAGGCCAGGCAAAATCACGACTCAGGAACGTTCCCGTTTCAAAGTGGCACGGATCTGTTTGGCGTCAAGGGCTCAGAGCCCTCACCAGAGCTGGGACTCAGCCTGGGCTCACACCCCCAGGGCCCCCCAGCCCCAAGGCTTGGCACTCTGCCAGGAATTCATTGTGGAGAAAAAGCTATTTACATTGCACGGGGAAAAGTGGTGGGTTTTATTAAAAAAAAAAAATAACCATAAAGGGCTCTCTGACAGTGGGGGACCCTCCAATGCCTTCAGATCCTGTGAAGTCAGGGGTGCTCAGGGGGGGCAGCTGCTCTGCCCCACAGCCCTGCAGGGCAAAGCCCCCCCCAGTGCCCACAGAACCGGGATGCCTGTGCCAGCCCCCCTGCCACGGCCAGGGTGACAGTGCCCACCCAGCCCTGCCACCCTGGCCAGGCTGGGCACACTGGCAGAGTGCCCATGGACAAGCACCATAACGCCTCCAAAAAACCAACCCCTGCATCCAGGGGAGTGCCAGGTGAGCTCCCACAGGGCCCGGGGCATCCCGTGCCCACAGAGCAACTCCTGTCTCCTTAAATCCGCAGGTTCCCTTTGATGACTGGCAAATAAACTGTTGTGGCTCTAAATGAAATGGAGCAGTTGTTACAGTGCAGCAGCAGCAGCCTGGGTTTCCTTGAGAGCACAGGCATAATTCCTGACAGGGGCTTCCTGACACAGAAATTATGGCGCTATTTTGGAGGCAATCTCAGAACATCAGACTAAGAAACAGCCTTTGTACATCACAATATTGTTGCTAAATTGACAAATAGACCCTCATGGGCTTCATTATTCTGCTCTGGGTGCACATTTTTGCATTTTTATTTTCCCTGGAAATGATTAAAGGGCCGCAGAACCGAGGGCTCTGGCTTTGGAAAATCCAAACTCCAGCCCTGATGGAGCTGAGGAGCAGAAACAGCTGGATGGGCTGTAGAGCTCAGAAGGAGAATCTCTGAGTAAGTCCAGCACGCTTTGGGAACTACCCCTCACTTCCAGGACAGGTTTTCTTCCAGCCCTGGAAATTCACCAGTGTAAAGCAACGTGACTGACATGTCCAGTGCTGGATTGGGAGCATCCGTGCGAAGGTCCTTGTTCAGTCAATAGCAGGCTTGTGTTATGCACTCGTAGAAATACATCGATCTCCCCAGAAACACTAGATAAAAGCCAAACAAGATGAACATCTCCAGAAATACAGCAAATAACAGCCCCAAGACCAGGGTTCCTTTACCCATCCACCAGCCAGTGTCTGAGGATGCTGGGGCAATGCTCAAGGAGTATTTTTGGGGTTGGAGTGGCTGCGGGTGGCTGCTCCAGGCTCTGCTCATCCCTGCCAGCCCTCGGGGATGAGCGGCAGGAAGGTGCAGGTGGGATGGACTGGGGCAGCTCTGCCCCATCCCTCTCCATGCCCCCACTGGCACACTGACAGGACCCTCATCCCAGGACAGCCAGGAATGCCAGGCAGAGAGAGCACCAGCTCCTCCATAAAACAGCACTGAGGGGATGGGATGGGATGGGATGGGATGGGATGGGATGGGATGGGATGGGATGGGATGGGCTCTGAGCCCACCAGTAGCACATGCTCCAGCAGGATGGCACCTCCTCACCCGAGCAGCTGTGCCCCCAACCCTCACCTACCACAGCCAGGACAGTTCAGCAAAGGGGATGAGGCTCTGAGGCCAGCGAGCCACCAGTCCCAACAACTATTTCTTATTCTCAGAACTATTAAGTGAAGTTCCTGCTTTATCCATACAGAGGCTGCTGCTCCATCGGAGCCAAACAGCACCGGGGCAGAGAGAGCAGCCGCTCCCGAGCCCCAGCTGAGCACGATGTGAGCTCAGGGATGCTCATGAACAAGACACACAGTGGGAAGTCACAGCCTGGTGTGACGTCACAGCCCTGCTAACGCAGAGCCTGGCTCTCTGCTTTCACAGACGGAGCCACATCCAGGGTCACACCAGCCTTTTTTTTTCCAGCGCACGTGGCAGATGATGGAGCAGGCACGAAACTCAGAGCACAGGGTATCATCACCCGGCTCTGAACTCTGCGTATGTCAGGAGAGTTTCTGGTTGGCAGAATCACGCCAGCAGCTACTGAGGGACCAGGGCAGTTCCTCCAACCCATGGAGCCATTCCAGCTGAGTGACAAACATCACTCAGCGAGGCCGCTGGGCTGGATGCTCCATCGGAAAACACCTGCAGGCACTTAAAGAAAAAAAAAGCCGGTGGTGGTGGATTTGGCTGGCGTTGGCTGCAGAAACTCCCAGCCAGGCTGGCAGCCGGGACAGAGCCTCATTTATCCGCGGGCTGTCACAGACAGCGGCACTGCCCATTGATGCTATTTTCAGGCGCCGTGCCCCACATGCAAACACAGCAGCTCACACAAACCTCTCTGCTCCCCACTCGGACACCCCAGACAGGCAGGGGGTGAAGCTGATGCGTGAGCAGCGCTGAACAGTGCAGGGACAGCTCCTGCCTCGTATTTTCACCCAAAACTGCTCCCCACAGGGCAGAGGTGCTGCCAGACTACATGTGACCCACGAACACATCCAGCCCTCGCAGGGGCAGTTCCAGCAGCAAGGTACCATCCCTCCTCATTGGTGAATCAACCTGGAAGCCACTTAGAGCCTCCATGAGTCCAATGCCAGGCCCTAGACCCCCACCTTCACACAGAATCATCTCCTCTATTTAAGCAACACTTTAAAGCTTTGCTCTGAAAACAAATTGCAGCCACTTTGTGCCAAGACGTTGTTTTCCCACACGCCTATCCAGCGGGATTGGCGCTCACCGCCCTGCCGAGGGCAGGCACAGGCACGTCCCTGTGCCGGGATCCACGGGGTTCGCTCTGGGGCAGAGCAGAGCCCCAGCCCTGCCCACCCCCACGCAAACTCCTCAAAAGCTTCCACCATAACTCATTGCTGCTCCGAGTTAACAGCAAAGTCCACTGATAATGGCCGGGGAGAGCGGGCAATCCGCTGGGTGAGGATCCTGCTGCTGCCTCCACTTGCCTGGACCAGGGGACACCCCACTGCCCCCACCCAGAGACACAGCACCCAGTGCCCCCATTGCCAACAGAAAGTGCTTTTGCACAGCTCAGTAAAGGACCTTTTCCGTAAGAGCAGTGTCCTCGTGGAGGCAGCCAGAGCTTCTGCTCCATCCCCAGCACGGACCTCTCCGTGTCCCGAGCCCAGCACGGGCACACACAGCTCCGGGCACCCTGGGGACAAGCCAGGGGACACACAGGGCGTGCTGTGCATCCCGACCAGCACAGCAGGGCCCAGGGACCACCTCACCACCACTGCCCTGCCCTTGCCACACATCCCAACACCTGGGCCAACACCACCCATGCCCAGGTGCTGCCACAGCACCCCAGCACACAGTGAGGGTCTCACTCCGGGTACCCCACAGGTGTCCCGGGGACGAGCCGGGGTCACCGGCACCCACGCGGGTCCCGCTAGGCGTGGGAACTGCAACCCCGCGTCGGAGAGGGGCTGCGCCCGGGCCTCGGTAAAGTTCCGCTGAAGAAGTTTCCCTCCTGCCCTGACCCCTCCGGGGGGCTCAGCGGGGCCGGGGTTCCACCGCGCCCGCCCCGCTGCAGCCGCTCCCGCCGCCGCCGGGATGGAGCGCGGGGAGCCGCGTGTGCCCCCGGCGAACATCCGGCCCCGCTCCCCGGCTCCCGGGGCCCCTCCAGCGCATCCCCCCGGCTCCCACAACTTTCCTACGGCTGCAACTCCCCTACCCGCAGCCCGGCCCCGGGCCCGCCGGTACCGGGAGCCCGGCCGCCCCCGCCCGCCCTACCTGCCCAGCCGCCCGGCTCCGCCGCCGTCTGCAGCATCCTCCCGCCGGCTTCTCGCTGCCGGCCGGGCGAGCGCGCTCCCAGAGGAGGAGGAGGAGAAGAAGGAGGAAGAGGAGGAGGAGGAGGAGGAGGAAGGCGGCGGGAGGGGGGGGGGATGAAGGCAGCGCGCGCGCCGCCGCGGTCCAACCCCCCCTCGGCGCCGCGCACCCGCGCGGGGTGGGAGGGGGGAAGCGCGGCGGCGCATCCCGGTGCTGCATCCCGCAGCTGCATCCCGCAGCGGCGCCCCGGGGGGGTCCTCCCGCAGCCCATCCCGCGGTCCCGGGTGCCCCGGGCTGGGACGGTGGGGACACAGGGGCTCCCCAGGCTCTTTCATGGGGACTGGAGGGGAGGGTGTCGGTAAAGGTGTGTGGCTGGGCGCGCAGAGGAGGGTGGCACAAGCGGGGCTGTGGGACGGGCACCTGGATTTCAGGGTACTGAGATTCCCGGTGTCACCAGCACCGTGGAGCGTTGGCGGGTCAGGTCTCAGACCTGCCCGAACGAGGGTCTCCAGTCCCTCACCCCGGGCAGCTGCAGGCAGCCCAGCTCTCCAGGAGCTCCCTGCGCGGACCGGGGAGGTGGCACCGGGGGGGCTGCAGGGCTTCGCCGCTGGCAGAGCCCCTGGTCTGACCCAGACCCAGCGGCCAGCAGGGTGGGATAACGCCTTGGCCGTGCCCAGGCAGCCCAGATGCTCCAGGAGGGTGAACGGGTAACCGGGGGCGGGACGGAGGGAGGGAGCCAGCAGGGAGCCGCTCTTTGCTCCTCAGTTGTCGCAGCTGGAGCACAAGGCGCCGCCAGGCAAAGGCT